TGGCTGGTTAGTTCTTTTGTAGAACAATAGTTACACTAATAGCCACAATAGAGCTCCCTAACCCTAGCTGTACGAGGCACTAAAACAGTAGGGCTTCTGGTTTTTCTTGTAGGTTACTCAATGAAGTAGGAGGAACTAGCTAGGGACAAAGAGATCTTACTTGACGGAAGATAATTAAACCTGAGATCTTCTAAAGAGACATATAAAGTAGGGTGTTAAAATCGAATCGAAAATCGCACCAAATCGAAAAACCAAATCAAACTAATTAAAAAGTCCGATTATGTTTGATTTGACTTGATTTGGTATTAAGTAAAAAAATCCGAACCAAACCGACATATAAATATATAAATTTTATTTATATTTTTAAGACTTTATAGTGAATTTTCTTTAGAAAATATAGAAATATTTGGGATCCTCTCATGTAATAACCTCGAAAGCGTAGATTAACGAAAAATTATTATTAGACGACTAAGAAAATAACTATCATGAGTTACTAAAAAAATTCTCCCATTAGAATACTTTAATAGATCATATGTTTGTCGATTTTTTCCATATTTACTAAATATATATTCACTTATCAAAGTTTTATCTATAATTTTAACAAAGTAAGATTGAAATAATATTCATGTAACAAAAAGACCCGAAAAACCCGACAAAACCGAACCAATCCAAACCGATATAGTTGGTTTGGTTTGATTTTGATAAAACCCGAACTCACCCGATCCATGTACACCCCTAATATAAAGTATATATTTATATGTCAGTTTGGTTCGAGTTTTTTTATTCAATACCAAACCAAATTAAGCCAAATCTAATTGGATTTTTTAATGGGTTTGGTTTTACTTTTCGATTTGGTGTTATTTTCCGGTTCGATTTGCACACCGGTACCTAGTTGAAACATTTGTTCATTGTATTTAAAAAAAATATTATTGGAAAAGAATATGCAATCTATATTAAGAAAAAACAACGAGAAATACAATTGGAACAAATAAATCGTTATATTTGATTATGTGGCAATTAATATTTGAAAAATACCCCATTTGGAAGCTAATCTTTCGAATTTTTCCCCTTCCCCCCCCCCCCC